TCGATTCAAGAATGTCTATCCGTCTGATAGCTGTTGATCTCTATTCAGCCTACAGGTCGCAAATTTTTACATATTTTCACGAAATTTGGTACACTTACGGGTTTTGACCCTAGAACGAACCTTATTGAAAATGTTTCGGATCGGACCACTTTTGCGATTATTTCTCTTTGCACGATGCAATTTTCAAAAATTTTTTCCCAAACCTCGTTGAGTGGTAGTACTTCGACATAGTAAATTGATACGAAAAATTTGGTTCCGCTGGGACAGTTTTTCAACATCCTCTCATATAACCATTGTTACAAAAGCGGAATCTTTAAATCGTAAAAAGATATAATTTTTAATATTTCATGGTGAAAATTGATTCATAATAGTAACTTGACATAGAAATCAATCTTACCGAATTCGGACCCCGCAGGTCTATTATTTCAATGCTTTTACATGTATGGATTCGCGGGAAATGTAAACCTTCATAAGCGATAAAAACCTAATTGTTAATGTTTGACGATGAAAATTTGTTTATGAACGTAATTAAATAAAAAAAATGTAGTGGACCTAGTTTGAACCACAGGCGATTATTTCTTGGCCCCACTCCATATAAGATATTCCATAAGTAGTAAGTTTTTTGGAAAAACTAGCTCATAGTCGCGTTTCAGCCAAAAAATTAACGGTAGGGAATTTGGATCACATAGGTCTACTTTTTTTGAATCCTAACATATATAGGCGCTATGACGAAACACAAACTCTTGTGTGGAAAGAAAATCTAACCTTCAAATATGCGGGTTTTCATGACAATTATGCCTTTGAAAATACTGTGTACTCTTTGGAGTGTTATTACAAAACGAGCGAATAGCTGCAATAGGTGAAGCAGTGTAGTGTAGGCGTTGCTCGACTATAATGTTCTCTTTGTTCTTATTTTTTTTGTAAGGGGCTTGCAAATGAACGCCTAGATTAAACTGAGAAATTTGATGAAAAATTTACGATTCTGAAAACATTCATATTCATATTCAGTTCAGTATTAAGCTATAGCTGGAAGCTGGAAGCTATATGCAAACTGAATGCTGCATTGCGCAGGGCATTGGATGTCTACGTTGCAGAGCTATCTACGAATTAGCTCATTCACTCATTCATTCATTAACATTATTTCAAACAAATGCAGAAACCGCTATGTGATGAAAAATGGATGACCTTCAAATCCGCTTAATTCAAGACTATTGAAAGATATCTCTGGTGCATAGTCAACATGCCGTAATAAGCAACATCGACATGTGTTTTGAGTGCTCAAGCTGTTGCGCGATGAAGAAAACGTGAGAAGTGTTTGTGGTGCTCGTTAGATTTTGGACAAGTATGACGCCGAATGGAGCGATTTATTGGACACATATGTCTCTTGTGTTTAACGTGAGTACCTGTATGGAAACTTAACCTCACAACGCACCCTGACATTCGGTTTATTTACACGTGAACCGAAGTCCTCCAGAGAGTTGGCCAATCCTTATAGGGTGGGGGCCCTAAACACAATTGGCGTACCAGATTTATTTAATGGCCAATTATACCCATTCTGGGGTTTGTTGAGGTCTATCATTACCTCTAATTTTCGCTTTAGGGGTGCTGAAAATCGCACCCACTACAATACTCCCTGATAGGGCATACTCAGTAGTCAGGACTCATTACTCCATTACAAGATTCCGTCCCTACGGACTTCTTCTACGTCGAGATAGGCAGCAAGTGGGCGTTTGATCCCATGGACCTTAAAGTTAAACTATGTGACTTATTGAACAATCCCCTAACTGTTGATGAGGCTTGGATCTAATAAGAAACGTCAGAAAGCTAAAATTTTGCTTTCGGATATGGATTTCGTGGTCATGCGGAAGTTGACTCACTTCAAATATATTGGAAAAACTGAGCCTGATTTGTCAAGGACATAACTGAAATTTGTGGATATTATGAAAAGAGTTTCGGGAAAATATAGTCATTAGCCCCGCACGCTTGTGAAACAACTTATAAACCCTAGCGTGTTATGAAGCCTATCTGCATCGTCTCGCGTTCATCTAGTGCTGAAAAGAAATTTGTTGCGCTTGTGTAAAATCATTCCGTTACAATGAATTTGGTTTATCTTTCAATGTCCATTGCAGTGGGTAGCGTAGATATGATAATGGGTTTATAGAATGGCACATAAGCATGCATTGCGGAGATGTAATTAAAAGTATTTGTCTGAGTATCTTCCTATATGCCAGTGCAGAAAGACGATTACGACCAAAAATTTTTAAATAATTAATTTATTTAATTAATTAAGGAGAAAACAAATCTGGTCTTAAATTTTTCCTCACTCACGTCGTTTAAAATTTAAAAATCGAATGGTTTGTCAACTATTACTAGATGTCAGTATACTATGTACGTAAGTGTGAACTCGGAATTTGACGTTGATGGCCCTAGATGTCAATGTAGTTAATGTCGAACTGCTGCATTGACGCTATCTTTTACAATTCACAACAATGCAAGTTTCATATCAAAGCATAGTTCGTAATAGAATTAGAACTATGGACTTTTGTACGAGAAACAGAGGATTGGCCAACAGAATTATTCTTTTCTAGAACGATACAAAAGAAGTCGTGTTTGCATCATATCCTTGGTCGGTGGTCGAAAAGTGGTTGTATTTCGAGAATCACAGGCGTCACAATTCGTGGCTTAATTCAGCTATCGCAAGATCCGATCGCTATTGCAAGAGAATGATATTCTGTGTTTGGTGGGGCCAGAAACATTTGGGGGAACTTTTTGTATCCAAGGTTACTACGAGTAGGTAGCCGTTCTGAACAGTTCGCTGTTTTCAAAAAACGGTCATAATATTAAAAAAGTAGCACAAGCGGACATCTTTACCGAGAAGGGCTAGTTTGTGCGTCATACTCAACAGACTCGAGTCCTTTTGATTACCACTTTTTTGCATCGATGTGCCACGCACTTATTAAGCAATGCTTTCATTCATGTCATGAAGCGACTCGATGAATGATTCGCGACAAATCAGAAGATTGTTTAAGGCATGGCATTCAGTAATATTTAGATGGGTGAAAAGAGTGTAGAAACAGCGATGGCCATTATATCGAATGGAATGTTTATTTATCTTTTTCTTTAATATGTCTGCTTAGTAATATGGTTGCTACTTTTAACATTTACATTTAAAATGCTGCCAAATTGTAAAAAAAATATTTGAAATAACAGTGATGTAATGCAAGGTCGAATAGTTGGATCTTCCGTTTATACTGCAATCAAATATTGTCAAGAAATCGGTGGTAGGTGTGAAAAGAATCGGCTGAAGCTGGAAACTGCTTTCATTGTTGTAGAATTCATTTAGTGATCAGAAAACTTAAATGCATTGTGAGCAGCAATTAATCAATTGTTTACGTTCTTCTATACAATGGGCTTTAATTTATTTCATAAGAGACGTGTGGTTCTTTGAACACTGGTAAATTTTCATCTGAATGCGTATGTGGTGTTAAGTAAAAGTTTTGTCTCATCATTCATCTGGATAATTATAACGTCATATTCAAGGATAATTTCACGTTCAAATCATTTTTATTTGTTTTGCTATAGTTATTTTTAATAGACTTTCAATTTTTAACTTTCAAATATCAACTCTGTCTAAATATGTGCTGGTATGTGTTGTGTTTAAGCCTGCCTGGTGTTTAATTCAAGCAACTATGTAGGGTTTATAATATTTTTGCTTCAGCTAATAATGTTGTGTGGCAACCTTGAAACTTGCCGTTAAACTTGACAGCATTTTTCCATTTTTTAAATTGTTTTTTTCTAAAATAACGGTAATTTATAAAAGAATAATTCACCTCAATATACAAAGATTTCCCTTAAACGAATGATAGGAAGAATATAAAACGAAACAAAAATAAGTGACATTTAACTTAAGAGATTATAATAAAGAACTTACACCTGGCATTTACTTTTGTGACGACGACAGGTTTAGACGTGCATTAACGGAAACTATAAACCGAAAGGCGTAATGGAGTACAAGTAATGTAGTGAATTGAAATATAAAAGATATAAAAAAAAAAAGCCTTTCTTGTGAACATAGAGGTCTCAGAAGCGTTTAAGTAACTAACCACTGTACGATAACATGAACCAAAGTGAAATGATAGCATAAACAATAATACAAACTAGGAAAAGAAGGAGGAAAGAAGATAAAAAAAAAGTCTATAAAGGACATGAGAAAATAAAATTTCTTCTTAGCGCTTCCTTCTTTTCTATGCTTTATACATAGTTCGAGTATATACGGTGACAAAACTTAGTAAGGAAGGAAACTAAAATGAGTATATACTTTGTTATTGCTCTCTCTTTCCCTCTCTATTTTTTCTATCTTTCTTTTTCTCTCTTTCTTTCTCTCTCTCTCTTTCTCTCTCTCTCTCTCTGTGTGTCTCTCTCTCTCTCTCTCTCTCCATCTTGCTCTTTGTTATATATATCTTCGCTGAATGAGAGTAGTGATGTGTTCTGAGTGATAAATTAAAGTGAAAGCTTTGCGTGTTTATATAAATAATGGGTAATTTATATAATAACGGTTATGTTGAATTTCCTATAATGGCTACTATCATACTATGCTGTGGTGTATATCTTAAAGTGGGAAAAAGTTTTGTTTCAGTTATATCGAGCGTGCGGTAGAATTCATCAATTTTCCATTTTCAGTTTTATTCCGATTGTTTAGGGCGGTTCCGTAAGCAGGCTGAAAAAACTAGTGAAAGGTTTTGTACTGTGTGCAAGTGATTTGCTACTAAAACAGAGAAAAATATCTTAAATTGCAGAAAAGAAAAAAAAAAAAGAAAAAACAGCAACTACTAGAAAATAATAGATCAAATTTTTATACACGTTCTAAAGTAAAAATTGATGTTCTCAACAAAGAATAAGAAAATTCATAAATTTTGTTGAAAATTATAATAATAATAATAATAATAATAATAATAACGATAATAATAATAAGAATAATAATAAGAATAATAAGAGAAAACGAAATTAGAAATGAAATCTGAATGAAATTTTTAATTAACAATGAATTTGTCCTGTAAAATAATTATAAGTAAAATACTTTCAAGTAATTTTGAAGTAACTCGGAAAAATATTTTAACAAACTGCAAAAATATACTGATAGAGTTAATGGAAACTGTAACAAAGGCTAAATAAGAAACAGATACATATTATCGAAGACCCTGAGAGTATGCTACGTAAAACTTTTAAAATAATTGCCCACAAATAGGCAATCGCATTTAATTTTAAAATATATATATTATTTTTTTGAAATTTTTTCATAAATTTTTCTTTTAATAAATTCATAAATTTCATATTCATTTTTATTTACTTTCATATTAAAATTGATTAATCAGTGTTTCTTTGTTTATTTTTATATATAAATTTCAATTCTTTTTTTCATCGTTTTTTTCTTTTTTAATGTCCTTCTGCGAAAAGATAAACTGAGTATTTTTGTCTGTTTCCTTTGTGCTTTTGTTTCTATATTTCGTGTATTTCGCTTTGCTGCCATTTCCTTCTCCGTCATAAATGGTATTTTTCAAGTGCACACACACCGACTACCCAGCGAAACAACCCCAGCTAAAAATGTTGGTTAGTCAGTCAGCCCACTAGCCAGTCGATGTGTCTATGAAAAAGTAATATCTTTGCTTTTTTATCTGATAACTCCCGTGAATATAACTTAATGTCTCATGGATGTGATGATAAATATTTTTACATGACAATGAATGTCATTTTGTTTTTTGGCTCGTCGCTTTTGACATATTCCACAATTTACTCATTAACCTTAGCTAAAGATTTATTTGCGTGTACGTGTGTAATTGTGTGCATATATTTTTCCCCTTTTCAAAACTTTTTTACTCGGTACATTTGTGTTTAGTTTAGAATGTCGATGAAATAGAGGAATGGGAGTGGGGGGGATTTTCTTTCATTCAGGATTCTTTTGTACATTAATATATATATTTTTATATTATTATTGCTGTTGCTGTCGTTGTTAGTGTTAGAGTGGTTTTTTCGTCATTCATTGATTCTTATATATGTTTTCTGATACATATATATATGTATGTATATATCATTTCTGTTTTTACCTCGCATATATTATTTGAAGTTTGCCTAAAATCATGCTTTCATTTTATTTTACTTTATATTATTTATTTATTTATTTATTTATTTATTTATTTTTTTCTTTTTTCTTATATACGCTGTTTTGTTTGAGGAGTACATGCATTTTTATAAATGTTGATGGATTTTTGTGTGTACATAATCTCTATAAATGTTTTTTCACACACATACTCTTTTAGATATAAAAACTAAAAGAAATTTATAAACAGTTGAAGACTTTGAAATATTAACAAAAGTGAGTGTGATGAAAAGTTTGAAAATTGAAATTAAACTGAACGTGAAAACGTAATAACAGTTAAAATAAATTCATCTTCAAATATAAATTACTAAATAAAATGAAATGAAAACAAAAACTGAAAGGTAAGTTCGTTTAATTCAAGCAAGTGTATGTTAATGTTACACCCACCATCAAAGATATGCAACGACGTTAAGTTTGTAGCGCAAATTACGATTAGCAACTGATCTAGCAACTATTCTAAACTCCACGTTAAGTATTTGAAAAATCGGTGCTGCTTTGATGGTCGTTGACTTGTACGCGATGTTATTCTAACTTATAATTTCGCATAAAAGACGACAAAGAGTTCAGAATCTCAGTTGTTTGAAACAAATTAAGTCAATGTTGACGCACTACAGAATTTTACATAGATCGTGATTAATACCACATAAGAAATACTTTATAAAAGCAAAGTCCGAATTGATTTCCATATTATGGAAAACATAAGTAACCATATCGAACAGGACTTATACGTACGCTTCATATTTATGTTGTAATAAAATTAATTGCCCTATTCGAATTTAAGAATTTACCTAAAATTTCTAGATGGGCGGTATGAAAAATTTGCCTTAAGGCGATTAGCGCTTTCTTCACTTGTTTATTAATCATACAATAAATATCATATGTAAATATTTATTAATATATTTAATATATATAGTTTTTAAATCCACTACACAAAGTTACGGGTATACAGATATCGTCAAAACATTTGCGATATCTGGAAATAAACTTTAAAAATCCCATGTACATGTATATATTATTGTTTATTATCCAATTTTGGATCAATTAAGCCACGTCCATCTGGCCCTTTGACTGTTTGTGTATTTGTCTATGGCAAATATTCTTCCGAGAGCAAAAATTGAGATGTCGCTTTCAAAATCGGAACTTTATTCACGCAGCTTGGTAACGATCATCGAGCCAAGCCGCTCAAAGTATATGCCTACGGTACAACTTCTACCTTCTGATGCAAAAAAAAAAAATCAATATATATATAATATGCAACATATCCAATATTAACAAGTAAGAAAAATATATAGGGCTGCGATCAAATCCTTTAGAATCACCCTCTTTCTCTCTCAAAATATATATGTATATATATATATATATTTCCATTTCTGTACAGGTATACGTGGGAGTAATGTGACCGTAACACTAAATTTTTTGGTTTTTCAAAGTAGAGGTAGTCTCTCCTTAGGTGACACTGCAGACGTGGTAAGAAGTTTTCATATTTCTGTCAAAGTGATATCTGTGAAGGCGATATCTGCATTTTTGCGGTCAGGAGACGGACGAATACGCTTAAATCGACTAAGAATTTCATGCTAGTCAAGAAAGTATACATTGTAGAAATTGTCTGAAACAACCATTTATCGCTGATGGGTGTAAGAATCCATGGAAAGAATGGAAAAACTCGGCCACGTTCATCCAATCATCGAATAATAAAACATCTTTTTTTTTTCTCATTTCTGGTGTTTTAAACATAAAGCTGGCTTGTGTATAAAAGATTCGGCCATTACCAGATATAGTTTTCTTATAAGGTGCCCTGGAAGGAGGCTTCAGAGATCCCTTAGACTATCTATATTCTTGATCAGCATTAAACTCTGATTCGATCTAGGCGTATCCACCTGGATATTGGCAGGTACTACACGTAGGTTGATATTTAGAATGGGGCGAATCTATCAAGTAATACAGCCATAGTACAACATAAAATGAGAACACCTCGTTGCTTATAAATTGTAACAGTATTCGACTTTTAATATAATGCTGGTGGGTGTAGACGATTCGGCCTTAGCCGAATATAATTTTCTAACTTATTTTCTGCTTTTTTGTTTTTTTATTATTAAAGTGAAACATTTTCTCCAAATGTATTTATCACTAATATTTAAATATTCGGGAGCCATTTAAAAATTAATTTCTAATAATTATTGTTTCTGTAACTAACTTTATAAAGTCTAATAAATTAAATTCTAATAAGTTTAATCTGTTAATTATTAATATCCCTAAAATATTTGTTTTGCAAACAAAATTCAATTTTTACCTTATCCTCACAACGATTAGGTATTTGAAAAGAAATCAAATTTAATCTTCAACACGTAAGGAGTTCATATAAAACGGCAAAATCGATTTAACCAATGATTAATGACTTTTTTTCGTTATATAGATAGCTAGCTCACAACCTGACCCAAAGGATTATGGTGGGTTTGGCACTTTACTAAATAGCGAACATATTCCACATATAATACATTTTTAAGAACCAAATATTTTGAAATTAATAAATGATCGGATATATTGAGAAATAATACGATATCTGTAGTTTCATAACGACACCGTAATAGTTATTAGCCGTCTAAGCGGCGGGCACAGTCTCGTTCACTCTGTTTTTTACTCCATATTTGTGCAATATTAGGGTTTGGTTCGTCGTCTCCTATCAAACAAACTCAAAATTTTCTATTTTGTTCTTAAATTATAACTAAACTTTATTTAAGTTACAGAAATCTCGATAAATACTTTTTTCAACAACTGTTGGCTTACGTTTCAATTTTCTTGCAACTTACAAGACATCGAATGCTTGATAACGCTGTCATGTACAAAGGCATCGGTGTGATATATTTTACTTGTTTAATCCTTTAGACAGAGTATGAATGAGTTCCGTGTGCACGGAATGAAGCTATCCACGGACGGACGTTGTTTTGAGTAACGTCATTAAGAATGGAAAGGCTATTCGAAAAAACAATAAAACGATCCCATTGAAAACTCACAAATCTGCGAAGCAATTGGCTGAAAATAATAAACGTGTAGATCTTTGTAAGATAATCATTGCCTTAAATTTATAAATCCGTATACAGTTTGAATTTTTCAATTATATTAGCATTTTAATGTATAAAGTCGAATCATCTAATAACTCTCGGTCAATATGTAAGTTGTAAGTTTTTATAAATTATTAATTTTTTAAATTTGATCTGCCGGCACGAGCTAAGAACCTATAGGTTTCTTATTAATATCAGATTCAATGTATGCAAGCATCAGCTTTGAAAAAAGTAGACCAACGGACAGATATTCCGGTCGTTTTATATTTCTGTGCGATACGATAGAACGGAAGGACAATTTCTCTAAGTTACCGACCCAGACCGATGAGTACCTATAAAACGGAGATACTCACATAGTCCGGTCAGTTGCAATTTTTCTACTATCCGTTGTTAATAAATCGAGAGTTTGACGTTTGAAAGACGTTTGAAGTTTTTTTTTGCTTTATTGGTAGACAAATGGTTGGTGCACAGACTAATTCCATATATGATATGTGAGTGAATAAGATAGAGTCAATGTTTAGGATCGTGGAATCACTGCCCAATGATTGTAAAGCCAAACGTTATGCTGACTTTATGCGTCGTAGAAATTTGTTTCTTCAATGACTTTCATGTTTGGTCAGCAATATTGAAGGTAACGCTTTTCAATATCAAAAGGTGCATCAGCAATATTGAAGGTAACGCTTTTCAATATCAAACGAAGTCTAAGATAGCGGGCAACAGGAGGCTTATACTGGTATTTTTTTTTTTTTTTTGCGGGAGTTATAGTAAGTAACGCTAAGTCATATCGAACGTTTAGACTGAAATTTAGCGGAGCCAGATTTGTGACTGTAAGAAAATTTTCCTCCCATTTTTTTAACTTATCATTATATGCTAGAGGTTTATTAAGTTAATTAGTTATGAAATCGGATTGCATAAACTTTTGTTGTCTATGTAAACATGAAATTTTAAAGTAATTCAACTGTGTCTGACCGCTTTCATGCAAGCCAGGAATAGACCATGAAATTGCCCTGTATATCGAATAGTTTATTGTGTTTGTGCATTTGAACGATTGCACGTCAATTATGAGCAAAATTTTTGCTCTCTTTAGGTTGCCGATAGGGATTTTGTTTTCAGATGAATCAAGCAGAGAAAGGGGCTGTGTTTTAGTATGCGGTTGTAACCTTCAGATAGACTATATGAAAGAAACACTGCATAGATTCAAAAATTGTATTGTCGTATGATTGCGAGTTACTTTACTTAATAGTCTTCAGAACATACGCTTATGTAGTTGGTCTGCTTAGTAATAGAAACCACCATCGAAGAGTGGAGTATACTCCTTTTGTTAAAACGTTTGCATTACGTAGAAAGACGCTTCACAGATCCCAAATGTATGTTCGATCAATATCGATTCCTGAATCGATTTAAGCAAGTCCATCTATCCGTCTGGTACGGTCCGTGGTAAACACTCTTCTGGTACCAAAGACCATGATTTCGGCTTTAAAACCGGTAGAAACATTCAACGGTCTTGTACGTAGATTGGTATGGAAAATTGTCCAAGCCGACCCAATATCAACAGAAAACTGTACAAAAATTTCCGAGAATATTTTACAAAAATCTTACAAAAAGGCAGCCACGCCTAGCCAATGTTATACTGCCTAAAAATTTCATCCTTTTGTGAAAACATTTGTAACATCCAGAGGGAACCTTCAAAGCATATATGTACACTTGATCAGCTTCAAATTGGGCAGAAACATTGGAAATTCTTGCAGGCAGGAATACTGGAAATCGGCCGAAGAATACGCTTGCAGAACTACGTAAATTCAGAACACCTGCGTTTTCCAAAAGGAAACAACAATTGATTTTTTGCTCGTTACTCACAAACTACAACAGATATGCCTATAAAAATGTGGAGCATTTATTCTACGGCATTGCTTGAGTAACTACATAAAAATGAAAAAAAATGGCAACACCTACCCAATATTATAGTGTATCAAAATTTAAAAGCAAGTTTCAAAAATTCCATATAGTATATAAATTCTTGGCTAATTCCAAATTCGGAATGCACTTGAGCACGTCTGTCGCAAGTCTATCGCAAGTCTGTCCTTCTGCCCAACCGCGAATATGAGGGTATCGCCTACAAATTTGAAAAGCATTTGAAAATGATTCAAATCTGTCAAAGGACTCGCCTACCACATTTATCACGCCCACACGCCTATGGAACAAAAACTGTCATCAGCTTTGCTGTTCGTGGTTTTTGCTTGTTACTCAGAAGATACGTCACTTACGTAATGTATATTTTCACTTCTATTCTAACGTTTCGGCGTCGTTTTCCATAAAAAAAAAAAGTAAAAGAACTACATTTTCATGGTCTAATGTCTAACAGGGAGAGGGAGGGTGGGTGCGGTTGATTTTTTCCATTTTCAAAATCAAAGTTTGTCTCATGTGGGCGTGCTTGTGTCGTAGGCGTTTGCTTTAAAAAGTTAAGGTCACTACCAAGTTCTTTTGGAAATTTATAGGCGATATCTTCGTTTTTCTTTATCAAGAAGATACTGTACGGTTGGGCGGACATTCTTAAGTGCATTCGAAATTTAAAAGTGATGCAGAGTTTCTATACTTAATGGAGTGTTCGAAGCTTATTTCTGTACGTCCTAAAAATGTACTGAAAAAAGATTAAATTTCGATTTCGATGGGTAGGCGTAGTCAACTTTATTCTATTTCTATATAGGTGCTACAGCATCGCCCATAGATGATGCGTTCGAAATTTTTGTACATTTATCTGCTATAGGTTATGAGTAATAAGCGAAAATCCATTTTATATTCCTTCAAAAAAATGGCGGGTTCTCAGTTTACGTGGTGCTGTGGGCGTGTCCTTCGACCGATTTGGGCCATTGGGCAAGAGCTTCCAAAGTTTGAGGATGATTCTCTACACAATCTGAGAGACATACAGACGAACATGCTTAAGTCGATTTCTTCGAATTTCAATTTCGTGAAGCACTTCGTGCATGCGTTTGTCGGAGTTTAGTTTAACGACCTATTCGTCGCACTGTCCCTTAAAGCTTATTCTATCTCATACCGACTTTCAGGTTACATGGGACGTAATGCAAAAATTTCACCGGAAACTTTTATTGTTTATACTTTTTCTATTCTCTTCTTTTTCACTTCTGCTAAAAGCGACCAATAGACTAGCTCCGGCTTGACGCGGGAACGGAAGATTGCGGGAGTTTCGTAGTGACTCTGGTTAGCCCAAAATGCGGGAAGAGTTCTCGCTCGGTGTGCAGTTGCATTACTTTCGGCTGACTCACCCACAGAAAAATAGAGGTTCTAGATAATCTTGGTTCGTATTAGTGGGGAGGGAGGCGATCTCCACTGGCGCTTAGGAATAAAGCAGACTCATCGGTCTGAGCATCCGGTCTCATAGTCCGTGTAAACGTAAAACACTTAGGAATGTCCGTCTTTTAACACCTATGACTTTTCGTTTGTTTTCTTACTCGCTCACCTAGACATTACCTTTGCTCACCTATTTGGATTTCTTTACCGTTTCTCAGTTCCTCTCTTTTTCTATTTGATCATCCATCTATCAGTGTTTTCCTAACTCCACCTGTATATTTGTTCACGTTTCGCTTACCTATTTCATTTCTGCCTAATTCACGTAAATTGATATACACAAATCTAGTTACGCATATGTATATTTTGATCATTGTAAGAAATCAAGTTGAATACTGCTCTCAAGCTCCATTAAATCAAGCCAAATCGGTGAAGAGTCAACATTATTGTCAATAATCTGCAAGTTACGCGAAATTTGATATAAATGAAAACATCAAATAAGTGAAAAGAAGAGAATAAATATAAATATTTCATGAAATTTTTCTCCGAATCATTTGCGTTCAATTGCATTCCACGAGCTGATTGACATTCAATTGGTAACTGGTTTCGAAATGATCTAAGCAATCATTTATGAAAGATGAGCAAAAACCTTTCGGGAAGAAATGCTTCAGTCTTGAAAGATGTATTTATATCATTATATATATAAGAACAGCGGTAAATTTGTTAACATGTTACCTGTCTGTTCTGGATCGCAAATGAACCAACAAACGACTGTCTTCGCCTCATTGGGTTTAATAGAAAGATATTTTAATAAAAAAAAAATTCTCTATATACTTGGTGCAAGTGAAACTGAGAGTTTCATTGCTTGTGTGTGTATGACGCCAAATAAGTGTACTCCGAATGTCAGAATGTCTGCCGCTCTGTCTGCCCTTATCGCGAATGTATCCCATATCGATTGAGTTGTTTTTCGTTTGATTAAAAACTCATTGCTTCTTCTTAAAGTTAAATTAGTTGGAGAACTCCAGCTCCTGCCAAGTATCTGCTACTACTACTAGGCGTAGAGGTGATTATTCATTTATTTATTTATTTATTTAATTTTATTTTCTAACGAGCAACTAACTAAGTTGTCTGTGAAAAATACTATTCTCGGAATGCTCTTTTTTGTCCAAGTATTATTGTATTGTATTGTATTGTATTTATTTATTTATTTATTTATTTATTTTTTCTGATTTATTTGCTTAGGTTTTACACCTTCATGCTTCAACGAAGCCATTTAACCAACATTGCAATAAAATCAACAACAGTAACATTAATAACAATAACAACAAACAGCACTATAACATCAAATCAGTAGCGCAAGATTATTCGGCGATAGATGTTTTAGATAAACTTGGTCTAGTTGTTGCTGAGTTGAACATTGCTCAAAGCTAAAAATCAACACGTCACCTAAAACTGTTGTTTAAATATTGGTGAGCAAGTCTGTCATTTGCCTTTTTATAGTGTAATCTTCGATTTTTTGCAAAAAAATATTTTCAAACCTATATGTACATTGCAATGCTCTGCGCGTGCCGCCGGCTCTAACTAACAGCAAACAGATAGTCAGATGCTGTAAGCCTTCTTTTTTCTTCTATTTTTTTTTTTTGTTTTTTTTTTGTTTTTAATATTTATCATAGAGGCAGGTTGCTGTTGTTGAGTTGCTTTTTGGACTCCCCGTTTTCCCCGTTTCCACCGTTTGCCATTTTAAGTGTTCAACGTAACCATGTATGTGCATGCAGCGTGTGTTTTTCCGCCTGCCCTTGTATTGCTTTTTTCTTTTTAGAAAATTTCTTTTAAATTTAAATTTTCTCCTCTTCTTCTCATTCTTTTTCCTGTTTTTAATACCGAATTTCGTTTACTATTCAACGTTTCATTCGTTTCTTTGTATTTATCTCTGATAAACTGAATGTGTGTCACTGCTTGTATTGTGTATGTTGGCGCTGTTAACAGATAACTTGTCACGTTTTTCCTCGGTCTATGTCTATCTGCTAATGTTGGTTTATTTCCTTTTTGATTTTGGGCCCAAGTGTGTAAGGGCTTTTACAGTGGAACAATCATTTCTTAGATTTGGTTATAACGCTGTACTATAGATTTTGCTTGTTACAGCCTTTTGTCTTCTTTTATTTAAATTGACAATTTTTGTTTTGCTTTGCTTTTTGCTTTTTTTTTCCTTCTCTGAGTTTCTTAAAATCTTAGGATTAAGTTGCTCAGGTCACTTTTGAGATGGAATTCAAAGTTCTTCATAATTTACGGCATGACATCATTAGATAATTCTTATCATCGAGATTAGGACTATAGAAAGCTCTTTAAGAATAAAACAACGCACAATCGAAGATATGAAGCACCGTTGATTTCGATCCTGTTTGTCTTCAGAACTTTACAGATTAGAATATCGTTATCGCCATCGGCGCAAACACACACTTGACTATATAAAACTTAGGTATGAATATTATTATTTGCCTTCATTTTCAATCGTCATCAAAATAGTTGCAAAATTATCCTACCACTGCATCGCAAATTATTAAAGAGAGAATTCTGCTGTGAACGAGAATGTATCATAAGCGTGTTGGTTGAAGAATTTCTATGTCAAATATTTGTGATCTTCAAAATGCTTTTCAGTCCGGTAGGTCTGTCAACGATATCATTGTCGTGACATCGATTAAATCAAGTCCATAACCGACTCCGATCAAAATACATTATTAGTCTTTCAAAAGCTTGAATATCGACCATCCAAACTATTCTAATGAAGATGTAAGGGCGTTTACGCCCATTTGGATACGGATTGTCGAACATTAGCATCGCAGATGTAAATCTTATAAAATATGCAAAAACTCTCTATTGAGTTATTTTCAAAATGAGGCTTTGTATGGGAAGTGATCGACAGATGTTCCTTTTGCTTAGCATGAGTAGCTGTTATAAACTTCAGCTCACGGCACCCGGTGGTACACGAGTTAATATTGTGTAACCGGCGCCCTTCAGTCAGTTATACAATCCCTATAAACTAGGGGTCTGAACTGCACTCGAGAAACCAGATGTATTTATTGTGTATGGGTCAATAAATCCACTCTGGAGAATGTTGAGGTCTATCGTTACCTCTTTAATTATTCGGTTTAGGAATGATGAAAACCGCAGCCACCACGATACCTTAAGATGGGGCGTGTCCAACCGTCAGGACTCCTACATTGATTGAATGCTACGTTCAAACTAGGTCTGAATATACTAGCTTCCACAGCGGTCTCCAAATGGTGTGTCAATATGCAAGCTTCCCCGCGAAGGATCTTGGCAAGCACCAATCTGCAGATCAACCAATGCTGTCACCTCTACCCACAGGTGCTCATGACTTTGTTAGTGGGCTCCTGATCCCTGTGGAGCTTAAATTTAGTCCATAAAGCCTCTAGCGTTACTTTACGCGGCATAGTCACTCTTGCCTTCGGACTAACCACACAATCCCCGCTAGCCAACACCGGACTACACTATTTCAAGATATATTTGCGTCGGGTGCTACATCTGCTACATCGTAGTGAGCTTCAGGCTCTCGACCATTACTATATCAATTTACTTTACGTAAGCAGTTACAATATAACAACGGCTGGTTTGTATTTCCTCCATAGCAATAGTCTACGAGAAAAGAAGTAATCTTAGCAAATTTCTTCCAGTGTACCCCCAAGCTATCCATCAGAAAGCTTATCGCTCAGTTATAGATAGCCTAAGCTTGAAACTCTTCTTCGCCAGTCAAAGATCGTTACGGTGATAGTTTCGCCACGTCTATGCACCCATTGCGCGTAGTTTATTCCCCCGGAAATGATCGACAATCTGTTCCGATTCGAATTATTTTCAGTCCTTGGACGAAAACACGTCAATATACCAAATCTCAATAAAATATTTCAAAAATTACGGCCTGTAGGAATCCCACCCTACGGCTACAATAAAACAAGATAGACAGACAAGCTTAGATCGATAGGTATAATAAAAGTTGAGTCCATCTCAAGCTCTTCTGAACACTGCATACATACGCTCGAACTTATATAAATATACCGTTGTTTCACAAGTGGTGTAGCATATTACTAGAAAAGTAAATAATCATCAATCAAAGTACCATCGAGATCAAATATATTAGCTATAAACCCATAAGCACATATGAAAAATTCTATGGAATAATTATTTCACTCTTACGATGGTTCTTTAAAAAAGGTACCATCACTATTTCAGAAAAACGCCACAGCACTATATCCAATATATTTGTGAACTAAAGGATCGGGTGTTTCCTTAGAAATCATTTCAATAGTGCTGGGGAAGCCGAGCTATAATGATAATAAGAGCTAAAGGAATTTTTTCATTTAAGTGCAAACAACTTACTAAATACCCTACATCATTTCGCTTAACACACTTTTTTATTTATACTCTTTCTAAAGTAACAATATTATATTTATTTACAATCCTTATATGGGATGGGTTTCCAAAATTTGGACTATGGCGTTCAAACTTAATCGAATAAATTTATATGCCATTACTACTGACAATTTAGTATCAATTTTTGTCATAAAATAAAAAGGCAAACATAACTGTATTTCGACCGTATTGTGGTCATTCATCCAATATGCCAAATTACTACTCGATCGATTTTTTTCAGAAATTCTGAATAGTAGAGAATATTTTTCGTTTAACAGCTTTTTCCAAATGGGTTTATATGATAAGTGATGGTATTGCTGCTTCGATTCAATGTGGTGTACATATTATGAAAACTGCGACCTGCAGGTTGAACACAAATTACATGGAATAACATTAAGTGAGGCGAAGGGAAAGAAAATGATTTTCAAACAACCGGTGCAACAGCGAAGGAATGAGTTATCTCAAATCGTTGCATATATACGGATAAACTTAATATGTCTAACGTCGTATAAGAGATGTGAGATACGAAGAACCACAAAGCTATCGAACGGTTTTTAGGTAAGAAGAAAGAAATGCCTCAGTTATACAGGATAAGATAAGAAAATGCTCAACTCGTCAACTCATTGCTTTACTTAAATATTTCGTTTAGTGGCTTCATACATCATTTTAAAGAAATTTTGATGGGAAAAGGAATCCCTTACATGTTTGTTCGGGAGATTGACTTATTTTGATGAGAAAAATGTAGCAATTAACTAGTCTTGCAAAGGACACTTTGATTCCATTCAATTTTTTATTGGGTGCAATATATTTAAGCAACAAATTTGTTTTTAATTTCTATTTCTATATATATCTATGTCTTGTATGTCGTCTATACTTATCAAATTGAGTTTAATGGTCTTCAGTTAATCTTCTATGTCATCTAAGTCTATGAACACGCGAGCATCTTTTTTGAAACTATTTCATTAAAGATTATATAATAGGTTTTGATGGAACATTTCCTAACAATTCATAATTGACTTTGACAGTATATAATATGTTTACAAATAAGGCACGTTAATCAAATGGTACTTGCAATGAGTTTGATGTGCCTATCTGTCAAAGTAATAAATCTTTTTGCGGCGAATTAGCTATTAAAGCTTGTTATTGTGTTTTTCTGTTATATCAAATTCTTGTAACCAGCCGTTAGCAGTCATTTATTATTAGATTTTCTATGAGAAATTATTTTGTCTTAATCTGTTTTATCCTATCTCTTATATCCTTCAATTTGGTCACACATTTCTTCCTATCTACGACGACAACATTAATTTTGTCATTCAATTGATCGCATGCTAATTAAAATTTGACATTGCGTTCAACATTCATTTTATCGCATGCTATTAATATAGGAAAAGTATACGAAACCGCAAGCCATTTAAGAGTTATAAGAGAACTGCATGAGAAATATTTCAAGTTTTTAAGAACTATGAACTATGCGATAAAGACTTTTTCTATTCTCTCTCTCTCTCTCTCTCTCTCTCTCTCTCTCTCTCTCTCTCTAATTGGCCTTATTCTGTTCTATGCGAATACGAAAATGGAATAAAAAAAAGAAAAAATAACACTAATAATTATTAGTTTTTTCTGAAAAAAACTAAATGTTTATATATTAAGCACTGCTTAGTTGTTTTGCATTGTTTTTAAACGAGTTAATCGAGCACGCTATCTGCAATTTTTTCACCTTCTTTTTTAAAGCAAAAAATCAAATATCCTTATAATTGAATTCGCTTATGAAAATTTATTTATATTCGTATACACTTACTTATGCGCACGATTTTGTGCATTTATTTCTTTCATTTATTTAATATATATATATATATATATATATATATATTCTTGTTTTTTTGTTTAAATGTATTAAACATATATTTATTTATATGTTGGTTACGCTTGAATTGTTTTCATAACACCAAAAATTCAATAAATTCTCGAAACAATGAAAATGAAAAATTGAAAAAATACCAATAATAATTATAACAAGTAAGAGAACTATATTCGGTCATACCGAATC